TGACGGCTCGACAGAGACGTCGACTCGTGAGAAGGAGTCCAATGTTCACAGTGAGAATCGGGCATTAAAACAAGGGGACTTGTGCTTGGGGCCTAGTAAGCAAATGACCCCCCTGCAGCATGTCTCTGAGACTGTGTCACCGTCACCGTTATGCTGTGGGGTGACTACCTGCTCAGCAGTCTCAGAGAGTTAGGGTCGAGGAGGCAGGTGTCTGGGGAAGACTGGTCTCCAGGCTGGAAGGAGGGTGCTCCAGAGGCTCAAGAGCAAAGCTGTGGGACAGGGAAAGGCGGTGTGGGGTGAGAGAGTGGGCGGGGGGAATGGTTTGCACTGCCAGAGGGGCAGAAGGCCCGTCTTCGGCTCCAGGCCTCCGGCGGTCACTGACGCAGTGCTCGGGCACGGAGACGAGCCCCGGGTTGCAAGACCTCATGCTGCAGCTTGTGGCAGCCCCACCAAGCAACTGGGGCCATTGCTGAATCTGTCCATAGGCCTGCCTGACCAGGGATGCCCCTTCGCCACTCAAAGCTGCCATGCCACGTAGCCGGTCACCTGGACGTACGCGCCGTGTGGGCATTGCCTCCAGGTAGACCTGCCAGTCTGTGCCTGTCTCACTCTGCCTGCCGAAATGAGTGGGAGGCCTTGGGCAGAGGGGCATTTTCCTGTCCTCTGGGCCAGGGAGCTTATGGGGTCCTTTGAGGGGGCAGCAGGTCCTGTGCACCGCTGAGGCTCTGCTCGGTCCACCCAGAGGGGGGAATGGCTCTGCAGCAGGCTGGCTGTTCGCTGAACCCTCTGGGGGAGGAAGCCCCCCCCCCACAGGCCCTGCTGGCCCCTCCAAATGCAGGGAGGGGGCTCTAGGGGAGCGGGTCTCTCTCCTGCCTGCCCTTCCCTGACCAGCCCAAACCCAGGAAACTCTTTCTCTCTTCGGAGCAGTTCTACCCAGCGTATTCACAGCTGGTTTTAACTGATGGTTAAAATGACTGCATCATAAAGGCCAAATTAAAGCCCGAGCACATTAAAAAGCCCACACAGTTATTGTTTAAGCAGCAAAGGAGACGGCATAAGTCCAGGCACTGAGAAAACCTGCCAGCATTGGCCAGCGGAGGCTCTAGGAATCCAGGAAATGGCCACTTCCAAGGAAAAGCTTTGCAAGGGGGGAGGCTGGCAGCTCTTCCAGGGTGGGGCAGGGGGGTCCCACAGCGGGTCACCTGGAAGGAGAAGGCCTGCTGCACTCTGCTCCGCCTTGGAGGCATGGAATAAAATACAGAAAAGGCGAACAGCAGGGCACATGCTAAATGGCCATGCCAAATACTGGCTGGGCAGGCGGGCTTTTCAGCTTTAATCCCCAGAGATCACGTGCTGGTGTTCGAGGAGCTGGAGTCGGAAGCGCAGGAGGGCTTGCTCTGAGGCCCAGGCCAGGGCAGGGGTCCCATTTCCGGGATTCACGGCAGACCTGGCCAGTAACGAGGCCCTGCACCGCTGCTGTGGCTGCACACCCCTCTTCCCGCTGGTGCCCCCTGCATGCTCAGAGGCCTCGGCACATGGGGACCCCTCACTTCCCGGGCAAAACCCCAGACTCAGCCCCGGAGCAAGGGCAGGGTGAGTCTTGGGGGCAAGGCCAGGCAGGTCAAGCCCAACCCCCAGCACCCCAGAGATGCTAACCCCCAGAAACAGATGCCGGTTTGCTGGTCCAGAACTCTCTATCCAGAGCTGAGGGCTTTGGGCCTGGCCCTTCCCAGTTCCGCCCAGGACACAGCTGCAGGCCACCTGCACCCCGGAGGAGTGCTCTGCTCCCAAACAGAGCCGTGCTCATGACTACAGTTTTACTCGCAAGAAGTCTGCATCTGCGCAGCAGGGCTAAGCGGATGTTTGGTTCTGGGTCCAAGACGGAGCTCGTCATGCCTTGAGGGGACAGATGGATGGCATATGGGTGGCAATCTAGATGCTCGGCTCCAGAGGCCCTGGTCCTCCCTTGAGGAAGCGTCTTCCACCGGGCAGGGCAGCCCCCTGAGAAGCCCCGGCTGCACGAAGACTTTGGCTCGGGCTGAACAATCTGGTGGTGGGCGCTCAGCCTGCTGCCCCAGAGCCGCCCCACTCCCAACGGCCCTCGAGCTTGCCACCGGCAGCACGGATGGGGCGGCTGGACATGTTCGGGGTGATGCTCGGCGCCCTCCCGGGCCGCGCGCTGCATTACGCTCCATTGTGCGTCTCGCACAGGCAACTGCAAGGAGGAGCCTCCCCTCACACCATTTCGGCGGCTCCTTCAGCAAACTGTGGTGCTGGGAACTTGGAGAAGACTCCCTTCTGCAGACCTGACAACTTCTTAAGCAAATGCCTGAGAATGCGAAAGAGGAGGGCCCATCGTTCCCTCCCCCTCCCTGGTTCGCAGCTGAGTATGCATCTTTGTCGGGCTGTAACACGTTCCTGTTAATTTCACGCAAAGTGCCCTTGATGGATCTCTTGTTATTTTTCGCGAGCCGAGCCATAAATTTGTGACATCTCACTGTAGCAATCTGTTAAGTGCATGTGGGGGTGGGAGGGGCGCAGAGGACGGGGAAGGGTGTGCATGCATGCGCAGTCCTGTGCGGGAAGCAAGGGGGCACTGCCGAATCACGGGCTACTTGCCGTGGACGCCGGATTCCCCCCTGCAGCCCTGTGCTTCCATCTTTGTCAGGTGCCTCTTTGAGTGAAGCCAAGAAAGCAGTCTGAATGTAGTGGATCCCCCTCCTGATCTGTTTGCTCGCTTACTTTGCTGGGAGGGTGCTTCTGCTTCTAGAATTCTGGGGGCTTCCCAGAATGGCTGGACTACGATTCCCATCAGCCTCAACCACAATGGCGGTGACAGGAGCCATAGTGCCGCCATTTTCTGGAGACCCTCTTGCTCTCCGCCCTGCCTGTCCCGAGAAGGTGCTCTGCTGGGCGAGGCTCTTTCAAGACGAGACCTGAATGCCACTTGCTCTCTCGCTGTCCTGCCCCCCAAACTGCCACATGCAGGGAGCAGAACATGTGCTGTCCAGGGCACTGAGCCCCCACAGATTTCTCTCTGAGGCTCAGTTCAGCTCCTTTATGTGCCTGAATGTGAGGGTCATTTTGCTTTTCTGATTGGAAAAATATTCATTGCAAAAAGCACACGCTGCTGGAAAGTGCAAAGTTTCCCTCATAGGCTAAAGTGTGAACCTGCAGAAGGGGGGTGTGCATTGGCACATGCGTGCACTTGCACATGTGTGCGCTTTGGAATGTCAGCCTAGGTTTGGGAAATTGCAGACATTTCCTAAGAAGTTCATTTGTGTTTGCAAATGAGCAGGAATGAAATTCTCCTGCACAATCTTGTTCGGTGCAAAGGCTGCACTTTGAATCAGAGCAGTGTTCCTGCAAGGACAGTGTGGTGGCCTTTGGTTTCCACAGTGTGCTTCAGCCATTGGAGCTACAGAGACCCAGGGCCCTTGTCTGTCCATGAAGAAAAATGGGCAGTGCCATCCCTTCTCTCTGCACCTGAGATGTCTTCAATCCTGCTAAGAATCAGGCTGCTAAAATCTGCCCCGTGGCCTTTCTAGAATGCTGACAGTTTTTCAAGTGCAAGTTCACTCTCTTTCCTCACCAGTTTGTGCATTAAAAAAACAGCACAGAAATCTGAGCACATCTCTGTATGTACAAAAGTGCTTATATACTTTTGCATTCATTTCCCCCTAATGTAAACATTTTCTGTAAACAAGTGTTTTCCCCAAATATATGCCTTTCTGCATGTTATTTTCCCTAGAGCAGACAGTGATTCTGATTGAAAAATTCCATCACAGAATTTGGAGATGTCCAAACACCAATGGATCGTTGCTCCCCAGTTCACGAATTCATTCAGAAAGTGTGCACTGGATGCGTTTCTATTGAACTGTGGACCAAACGTTTTGTCCCACAACTGCCCATCGCAGGGCTTGTACACCAGCCCGAAAAAGCAGAGGCGGCCACCCTTCCCCCCACCCCCCGTGCCTAACGGAGGGGCACCTTCTCTGATCCACCTCCACGAATCCCTGCTTCCCCCCTCCTGCTCCTTGCCTTCTTCAGTGGTGAATATGATCCCCTCCTCTCCGTTTTCTCTTCACAACATTATTATTTATTATTATTATTATTATAACATTTCTATGCCGCCCCTTGCCGAAACCTCGGGGCGGCTTACAACATGATAAAATACATTGAAATTAACATCCCTGTGAGGTAGGTTATGCTGAGCATTCATGGCACTTGGGTGATACGAAAATTACATAAATAAAAATAAAATTAAAAAAAAATGTAAGACCAGAAACCAGATCTCCCAATCTGAGTCTAACACATTTATGGAAGGGTAACACCATGAAACTCAATCAGCTTCTGTTTGGTGGATTTGAAGCACCTCGTCAAGTCAAGAGCCCAAAGTTGGCCGAGTGCTTTTCAAGTGGGCCACAATTTGTGCATTTTTTTTTCTTTTAAGCCAGGGGAGTTTGCATAAATTTTGGCTGCAGTTTGCATAAAGTTTTGGCACAGTTCCTGTTCCTTGTACTTTGCTGAAGCTAACTTTAAATACATGCCATTAAAATAATAAATGCAAGGCAGCTTACAGAATCCCCCTCCTCTCAATTTTATCCTCACGACAACCCTGTAAGGCAGTGAGGATAGTGGCTGGCCCAAAGTCCCCCAGGGAGCTTCGTGCCTAAAGTGCATCTCTCCCAAATCCCGGTCCAACACTTTAACCAGTACTCACTAAGCCAAACTTATTAAGAATGTTGTTGTTGTTGTTGTTAGTCGCAAAGTCGTGTCCGACCCGTCACGACCCCATGGACAACACTCCTCCAGGCCCTCCTGTCCTCCAGCATCCCCGGAGTCCACTCAAGCTCACTTTATTAAGAATAAGAGAAGACTAATTTGCGCAGCACAGAAAGGCTACGGAGTTGCATTCGTGGCATACAGATGTCCACCTGTTGCTCACTCGCCAGACCAGAGGTTCTCACGCCCGTCTCTTGGTTGCCTCCGTCTTTCAGGTGATGGCGTGCAAGAGGATCAGAAGGTGAAAACACAGTGGCCGCGGTCAGCGGATGAACCAGGAGTATATATGGCACAAACAGGTAACAGCTTTTGTGGGCATGTGCTGGGGAGGAACTGAAAACCGGAGATTTTTCTAAGTGGTTCCTTTCTTACAGTCAGTTTCAAACTGCATGATTAATGCGCTGCATGAGTTCTTTAGCTGCAGCTGTTGAAGTACTTGTGTCGGGCTGGTGGGGCAGGAGAGATAATACAACAACAACGGTAATGCAAAGGTTTTCAGATCAAATAGCGAGCCCATAGATCAGAAAGATTGCTGTTTTGGTCAGGGCTGTGCTCAGGGCCAGGAGCTGTTATGTCGTCCTTCCATAGGAAAACATGCCAGGAATTTGGAGGAAAGCCCTACAGGGCCTGCAGTATTCCTCAGGGTGGGATGTTGTGGTGGGGAAAGGTGCATTCTGGAAATGAAATGTGGGAGAAGCTTTGCAGGGTCTGCATTAGACTAGCAGCTTGAATGTTGACGGCAACAAAAGATGCAGTGGAGTGAACTCCCTGCAGCTCCGCATGGGGTGGATCGGGAATTCTGGCAGCCTTAGGAGGACTGGTACAAGTGCTTCTTCCAGAAATACGGGATGGATTTGTAACGAGGACTGTGCCATGGCACCGGGGGCTTCCACAACTTTTCTGCGCAAGTCCCGTGCATGGTAGCTGCTACCCAGGCAGAGCCAAACCAGGACCCCAAAGCAACATGCGATTTCAGGCAAAACTCCAGAGCCACGGAGGAAAGCAGCCACGCAGCCCTTGAGTTTGTCTGACCAGGAGCTAGGAAGTTACTAAAAAGGGACCAGTCACCGTCTCCTGCATTTGTTTTTAGTGCAAGTTCTTTCCATTCCATGCATGAAGAACTTTAGTAAATCCTGATTAAAAATGGACTGCAATACAATTTGCACAGGGCAAATCCAGTAGGTGCGTTCATTCCTACGGTGCACTGCTTGTCATGAAGCTCTGAAAGAAGAGGAGCCTGTGAGGAAACAGAGAGGCAACCTGAGCTTAGCTCTTACACGGTCCAACTCAGATGTTAGGAACTAAGTACCCAAAGCCCTGAGCATGGAGGCATGAACCTGCCCATTCTGGTTTCCTTAGGCTTTTTTTTAAATTCAAGTTGTTTCCTCCCAGTTATGAAAAAAATTGCAGCTCTTGGTAAAGCTTTCAAAATGAAATGATATTGTCACCCTTCATAAGCTACCACAGCGCTGTAGCATTCCCAGAGGCCTTTCTTCGGCTGTTGTGTCAGTTGTCCCCTAGCTTGTGATGAGGCCTAAAAGAAACATTCCTTCTGGCAGCCTCAGTGTTTTTAGATGCAAATTATACTATTTGCATCTCTTGCCTAATGAATTTCTGAACCAGGTAATGATGCAGTCTGGCGACATCTCTAATTTTGATGAAGACGGGAAGTGTTTTGCAGATCACTCTGCATCTGCCAGTGTAATGGTGGATTTGAATGCCCATCTCAGCATTCCTGGGACAGCTCCATGCACGCTGCACTGCAGGGTTCTTGGCAGGGCTGCCTTAAGGGAGAGGCCGGCTGATTAGGGCTAAACTAAAAGTCTGACATCCCAAATGCCCTGCCCAGTGTTCTTACCCCAAAGTGAAATGTGCGTGTGATGTTTGAAAGCGATGCTAACATTCGTCAAAATATTTTAGGAACCAGCATCTGCCATTGCAGCGATTGTTGGTGGACTCTCCCTGTTCTCCTTCCTTCCGTCCTTCCTTTTTTGGAAACAATTATAAACATCCATTTTTGCAGTCTTTAGCAGTAGCATTACAACATTTCTCAGTGGTCAGGAATAGGGATGTTGGAGAAATCCAAAATGGATTCAAATTGCTTTGGATCCCTTGGCATCAGCCCAGCTGATTCCACAATAGACCTGTGTCTATTCACAAAACTTCATCTTGCTATTTGTTTCATCCTTAATCACTGTTTGGTTTGTGAGAGCAAGCAGTTTGTGCAAATCTAGTAGTGAACAAATGGGAGATGTGCACAAATCTCTCACAAACTGCAAATCTCCCAAGATTTGTGCAAATTTCCTCCATAGATGAAAGCAGGGTGAGCTAGTTTACTGGGGAAACTTTCACAAACCAAGCTTGAAATCAGACATGAAAAGAATGCAAACTTATGTTCCACAAATGCAAGCTTTTTCAACATGTGCTAACGCTTACTTTTAAGTACTCTTCTGAAAAAGGTGGCAGCCAGTGGCTGGATACCATGGAGAATCATTTATCCAAGATGGTGGTCGAAGTGCCCTCGTAGCATTCTGAGGGTGGGCAGTCACTCTGCTCCACAGCATGTTTCCCACCATTCCCAATATTTTCAGCAAACGCAGCCTCGTTCTCAGTGCTCCTGCTTTTCGGGCCGGCAGAGAGGCCAGGGCATCCTCGGACCCCTCATGGCTCAGCAGGTGAACAAGTCAGCCGTAGAAATGGAGGAGCAATTCCAGGAGGGCTTGTCCAGCCTGTGGGCCCTTGGCAGGGGCCTGGCCGAGACGCCAGTTTTGACTGTGCCTCCAGCCCTCTTGTTTTGCTCAAAGACAGGCAGCTTTGCGGGGGAAGGAGGCTGCCAGATGTTAGCTGGTCCTAGCTGGGACATGCCATTCATCATCCGCGTCTCCTCCAGCTCTAATAATCACATGCAATTTAATTAAGATGCAGCCTCCAATGACCAAAAAGCATGCATCTCATCTTCAATCTCCATCAGTCCCCCGAGCACCATCATTTTCATGGCGACAGTGGATTGAGATGATGCGCATTTCCCCTCCTCCTCTCCCTCCCCCACCCTTCGAAGTGTAACCGAGTCTAATTTGCTCCATTTATGCGTTCTCTTAGCGCCTTCCTGGGAGACCTATAAAGAAAACAAATGTATTAATTGTCTAGCTCCTATGTATTTATTTAGCAAATTCGTCTGGGTAATGTGAACGCCATTCACTTTCCCTTCTCCACCACTCTTCTCCTTGTCTATGATTTATACTCCCTGGGCCATTGCGTGCATTGCATGGGAAGACAAACGGAGCAAAACCTGGGAGAGTTTGGAGGGATGGACTGAGCCAGGTGTGCAAATGCAGATATGGGCGGGCTTTTGGCCCTTGCCAGGTGCGCCTGCACAGTGGAGCAGGCGGGGCTGGACTGGGCATGAGAGGCCCAGCGTGAGCGCCAAACACCTGCTCACAAGGTGGGTTGGGCAAGTGCTTGTCTCGGAGCCTCAGTTCCCCATTTGGGAGATGTGAGTGGCTGCACTTCCTTCCACAGGGCTGTGGTGCTGCGGCTTCAAGGACAGCCACCTGCAGCAGCAATTATTAATTGCAGCGTGATGTTCAGTTTTCAGAAATTATTCTGACTGGGTCAGGATGCAACTCTGCATGCTTAGGCAGAGAAAAGCCCTGTGGACACGGAGTGCTCTTCTCTGCATCGAGCTAGCATGATCCCCAGGATTTAGTGCTGGGATAATTTCTCCAGTTCCTTCCCCTTGACTCCCCACCCGTCTTGCAGAATTGGGTCCCACTTTGAGAACGTGCTGCCATGCTGTGGGGTTTTTTCCTGTGGGGAGAGGCTTCAGCACGGCGGACATCTCCGTCGGGTTCAGGCTAGAATGTAGTTGGCGCCCACCGCCTAGGGAAGTGAGGGGCAGCCCAGGATCCAGCTTTCCTGTGCTCCCGGGACTTCTTTCCCACAGCCAGGAAGGGAGCTGAGCCAAGTCCTCGAGTGAGCTGAGCTCGACTGAGCTCGACTGAGCTGAGTCCTCGAGTGCTCAAGAGTGGGAGCAGCTTCTTTGCAACCTGCACAATTCTTTTCACAAAGTCAGCAATGCTTTGCACAATTCTCTGCTCGCAAAATCCGCAAGTCACGTGTGTGGAAGCGGGAGTCCCTGCCCAGCAGGTGTGCAGGCGGCTTGCGCACTTGACTGGATTTGCCTCCGGCCAGACACCCATGCAGATGACGGCCACAAGAAGAGAACATGGGCCGAGTCCGGGGAACCGAGCTGGCCAAGTGGATCCCTCCCACATTGCTAGACCAGCCCCCGTTGGGTGACGCTTGCATGCGCTCTCTCGGCAGGAATGGCTGTGGTGCAGAAGCCTCCAGGTGTTTTCCCCAACGGGGACCTCCAGATATGGATCTATGAGAATTCCTTTCCTGTTCGCAAATTATGCAGATATGAAAGCAAACAGGTGCATAAATTCCATGGAAAGACATGAGATTTTCTGTGCTTGCATTTGCATTGGAAAGGGCCTAATTGAATGTCTGCACCTTGAAAAATGTGCATTCCCCTTCGCCATAATTTAAGCCATGAGGAGAATGTGTGTCTTTGGGTACATGGCTGGAGAAATGAGCGTTTTCCAAGTTCAAAAAGGTACACTTGTCTTCTCTGAGGGGAAAGGGGGATAGCAGTGTTTGGAAGAGAAAATGAGGCAAGACAAGCACTGAGTTGGGAACTGGAGATCTTTGATGAGCCAGAAAGTCACTTGTTCTCCTATTTATACCTCCACATTACACAAGCTTGCACTTGGGGATAAATCTGGTGGCAGCTAGGAATTCGTAAAAGTCTGGAGCATGGGCCCTCAAACTACAGCCCACGGGACAGATCCGGCCTGCCATGGTGAACAAGTCACCATATTCGCCACTGTTTGCCGCATGTGCCCTTGCTGCACAGGCGGGGAGGTGGTGGCTTGCTCTCTCAGAGATGGTCTCCGAGCGAGCAAGCTGCCGCTGCCGCCTGCCTCCCATACGCACGTGCTTGCCGCTGCCTCGCAGCATGGGCAGGGAGGCGCTGGCTCGCTCCAAGATGGTTTTGGACTCGCTGGGAGATCTCCGAGCGAGCGAGTGAGTGAGCGAGCCACCGCCGCGCGTGCCCGATGCCGCCTCGCCATGCCCGACGGCACCTCACCGGCCTGCGCCCCCAGGCGCCGCCACCTCACCGCCCACAACGGTCACCGCAGCCTTTCAACTGGCCCCCATTCAAAAAGTTTGAGGACCCCTGCCCTGGAGAGATTTCCCTAGCGGCATTTGAGCTCTTCTTCAGGCAGGCGAGAGGGAGGCTTCCTCCACACGTTCCTCAGAACGTTCCACCTGGGGCAGCTGCAGATGAGCTGGCGAGGGGGCATCTCTGCGGCCAAGTCTGGCCTCGGTCCAGGCTTCTGTGCTGCAGCTTTATTTTCCTACCCAACAAGGTGAACCAAGATTCCCAAGACCCCAGTTACGCACTGAGCACTCCCTTGCGACCAGCCGCACTGGAGGAGCACCAGCGGATCCCTCGAGATGTGCGTGCGCGCCGTGGCTCCGGTGCCTGCCTGCCAGGCCCTGTTTTGCTCTCCCTTTGCCACTTCCTGCGTTTAACAAAGTGGCTTTGATAGCATGGTCACCCTGAGATCCATGTGCCTCAGGTCTTCCTTGATCTACATGCAAGCAGAGGTGAGACCTGTGGCCCAGGTCTTTGCAGGTCTTTGCAGGACTCCAGCCAGGGGGACACACGGAGGCAGTATGGTGTGGTGGTTAGAGCATCAGGCTCAGACTGGGCAGGCATCGTTCACATCTCTACCAGCTGAGTGACAAAGCAATTCTTCCGTGTCCTTATAGAAAGTGGAGGAAGGAACTAGAGGAACAGCTTTCCTTGACTGGACTCTGACCAGCAAGGTGCAGTTTTGGGAATTTTGGGGGAAAGTGACCCTGCCGTACTGGAATTCTGGATTCGAAAGGAAGTGAAAGCCAAGCATAACCAAACACATACCCTTGCCTCTAGGAAAGCCAATTTTAATAAACTCTGAACAATGATAAGTAAAGTCCCATGGCAGGTGACTCTAATAAGAAAAGATGAGTGGGAATTTTTTAAAAAAGAAATTCCAAAGGCACAATTACGAACAATTCCCACAAGCTAAAAAGAGTGTAGAGAACAGAAGAAGCCCATTTGGCTTCGCAACGAGCTTAGAGATGATCTGCAAACAAAAAGAGATGTGCACAGGAAGTGGAAGGAAGGCCAAGGGAGAATATAGGCAGGTGGCATGGAATTGCAGGGATGCTGTCAGGAAGCCTGAAGCTAGGAATGAACTGAGACTAGTGAGGGATGCCAAAAGCTAAAAGCTGAAAAGCCTTCTTCAGATACATCCATAGCAAAAGACAGAGGAAAGACGGGGATTCAGCTGCTCAAAGCAGACTGAAAAATGATAACAGATGACAAAGGAAAGGCAGAAGGCTTTCAGTGGGGATGCTGGGAGAATTTTGCGTCCTCCCTGAGCTCCTGAGAAAACGGGGGTTGGGCAGGATACAGGATCATCAACAATCATAAATGTGGGTGCATTGCAGCCATGGCTGGATGTGAGATAAACACCCTGGGAGTCACTTCCAGCCATATAACTGTGGGTCTGCCTCAGGCACAGCGGAAAAACCTGTTGGAGAATCAAGGTTTTCATGTTTCCTTTCCCAAGAGGGCCAAAAAATTCTGCACATTGTAAACTAGCCTTGTGCAGGAAGAGAGATTTGGCTTCATCTGTCCCTGATGTGCCAGTTTCATGCAGCGTGGTTTTTTTATGAGGAACAATTTGGAAAATGACTTTGGACCTGAAGGCTTACCGTCTCGAATCTGTTCTGTGCAGTTTGCAGAGCAAGCCTGTGCACTGCGGAGATGCACAGGACATGGCTTCCCCATCCCGGTGCTTCCTCGGACCGCTTTCGTCCAGAGGCTGATGTTTGCACTGCAGCTTTTAGGATAAGCTGCCATGGATTGAGCAGGCAAAGCCCAACGAGTCCAGTGCCCTCCCCAGGAAGCAGACATGGCCAACGGCACAACGCAGCTCATGGTCAGGGTTGCTTGGGGGACCCGGATCTGAGTGTGAACTGACCTGTGCCGCCCCCTCAGACTAACTGGGGGATTGGAACTTGGCTAATCCTTCAGCCCAGGGGTCCTCAGACTTTTTCTAAAGGGGGCCAGGCAGCAGGTGCCAGCGGTGGGTGCGGGCCGCCAAGGCGGTGCAGGCAGGGGGGCGCGGGCCGGCGATCAGGTGGGGTGCGCGCGCGCGCAGGCGTGGTGAGGCGGGGACGGGGGTGCATGCGGGGCGAGGCGCCTGTTTGCTCGCGAGAAGATCATTTTCTCTGATCAAGTCCAAAACAATCTCCCTGCGAGCAAGCTGCTGCCAGGTGCACACGGCGAGGCACCAGCTTGCTCACGAGGAGATCATTTTCTCCGAGCTAGCCCAAAACGACCTCCTCACGAGCAAGCCACGTGCCCACGCGTGCCCGCATGCCACCCGGCGAGTACAAAACCTGTGGGGCAGACTGGTTGAATGGGCATGGCGAGCCGGATCCGGCCCGTGGGCCTTAGTTTGAGGACCCCTGCTTTAGCCCTTCACAGACATTCCAACAACTGACTTCAAAAAAAAATCTAAAAATACATTTAAAATGAATATTTCCAGGGGAGAAATCTTTAGAAATGTGCTTTTCAAGAGAAAATGTATATTTGAAAATACATATTTTGGAGAAAATATGCTTTAAAATACATATTTAAATGTGAATTATAAAGAAGAGTAGAATCTTATACATGTTTAGGCAGGGAAATGTTTGGGTATGCTGGGAATTGTGGGGATTTTTTTCAGCAGATATATACCTAGGATTGGACCCTAAATCACAGAATAAAACAAATGCTAGATGGAGCTATTTATTTGTTTAAGACTTTTGTATGCTGTCCCTTATGCATGGTATTTCAGGATGGCTTACAATCATTAAAACAACCACAATAAAACTGCAATAAATAACAATTATCCAAAAATACAAATTAAACAAGTTAAATAAAAGTGACTGTTAAACATTAAAATTTAAATTAGTTTTTAAAATAACAGTTAAATAAAAAGGTTTTAACCTGGCGCCGAAAAGAATATAAACTTGGTGCCAGGCGCACCTCTCTGGGGAGTGCATTCCATAATCTGGGCGCCACCGCAGAGAAGGCCCTCCTCTGAGTAGATATCCTTTTTACCCCCTTCAGGGAGGACTCCCCAAGCAGAGCCTCTGTGGCAGATCTTAAGGGGCGTGAGGGCATATAAGGAAGGAGACGTTCCGTCAGATATCCTGGTCCCAAGTCGTTTAGGACTTCATAGGTCAAAACCAGCACCTTGAATTGGGCCCGGACTTCAACTGGAAGCCAGTGGAGCTGATAGAGGACCGGCGTTATATGAAAATAATGACCAATCCCTGTTATAGCAACCTAGCTTGTGAGTGAACACATATACAGTGGGAATCCACCAGGAATAGGCAGATTGACCCAAATCCCAGCACAGGTAAGAGAATGGGGAGAAATTTTGAGTGCGCTCACTTCCAAAATTTGCTAAATTCTAGATTTGCTTACCCAATTTGAAACCTTCAAGCCAACAGAGAGGTGCACATGCAGCTCTCCTCTGAAATGTGTGCACCGCTCCAGATTTTGCACTGGATTTTTCCAGTCCAAAAATGCTTACAGAAGAGGTATATTTGGGCAAGGTGCAAATAAAGTGCATATTATTAGGAAAGCAGCATTCAGAAATGTTTTGTGTAAGGGATCATCGCTTGTAAAATGCCATGCTAGGCAAAATTGTATTCCAAAGATACAGAGGCCTGTACCAGAGAAACACTCGCAGAATTGCCTGTGCGAAATGCTTCTTTTCAAAATGCAAGTAGGAACAGGACAGGCGGAACGAAGACTGGGAACCGAGGAACTGTGTTGGGGGCTCACGCCCTCCCTAGCGCAGGCGCCGCGTGGCCGAGCTGCTCGTGCGTGTCTGCCGGCCTGCGCTGGCAGTGGCTAACCTGCAGCCTCGCCGTGTTTGTGAGCGCCTCTCTCTCTCTCTTTCTCGCAGGAGACCCTGCTGCCGAGGAGTGGTCCCAGTGGAGCGTCTGCTCCCTGACCTGTGGGCAGGGGACCCAGGTGCGAACCCGCTCCTGCGTCTCGTCGCCGTACGGGACCCTGTGTAGCGGACTGCTGCGGGAGACCCGGATATGCAATAACACGGCCACCTGCCCAGGTAGGCTGGGAGAGTGGGCGGGCATGGCTCCTCCCCCTCGACTCCTTCCTGGTTTTCCCTCCGGCCCTGGCTGCTCCCAGGAGCGATGCCAGGGGCTTTTCTTCTCGCAGCCCAGCACTTCTGCCCCCATCAGGACAGGCTCTCGCCCACGAAGAGTGCAGCTTGCTGTGGGCTGGAGCTTCCGTCTGCATTTGTTTTGGCTCAGCCCTAGTTCAAGTCTATTAAGATTTAGTAATCCATTTAGCCCCCACCACCCAGAGACGGGCGGTTCATGAGGGGAAACAAGTTAATAGCGCTAATATATTAAAAGGGAGTTTCATCCATAATCCGTAAGTACTATGAGGAATGAACGAAATAAAACTAACTGGAACGGTTAGTACTGAATTAGCAATATGTTTTTAATGTGCACTATTTAATTAAAGAGTATTTTACCCTTAGTACAACTCCCCTTTCCCCTGCCTGCCTTATACCCTCTCTGATCATTTTGGTACTGGGGAAAATGCTGCTGCTCATGCAGACTTTTAAAGGCTGTCAGCATTTTTCTGCTTAGGGTCGAATCCTGCGCAAGCAGAGGCAGGAATGGGGCAGCCACGTCCAGCGTGCCCGGCCTCTCCTCAGCCCCGGCACGCACGGGCAGGCAGCCTTAGGGCAGTGCGGGCGTTGCTCCCTCTCTTGACGGACTGTCGCTGCTGTAACCTGCTGTGCCGATTCTTCTTTCAATCATGCTTTTGTTGTTTCTTACTGCATTGCCAGGTGCCCCGGGAACACAAAATTAGGGGTCAGCTGCGAATTATGTAAATAAATGCAGATATTCATAAAATGTGTAAAGGAAAAAACATCCTCCCAAAGCTTGCTTTTATACACTCAGAACTGTTTCTGGTTGGGCCCAGGAGTTATCACCACATCATGAATTCTTGTTTGATCCCCTGTTTTAAGGCCCAGGTAACAAGTGGCCCGGGGACTGCAGGTGGTGCAGTGGTTTAAACCGCTGTGCTGCTGGGCTGGTTGATCAAAAGGTCGCTGGTTCGAATCTGCACAACGGGGTGAGTTCCCGTTGCTCCGTCCCAGCTCCTGCCAACCTTGCAGTTTGAAAGCATGCAAATGCAAGTAGATAAAAAGGTGCCACTTCGGTGGGCAGGTAACAGCGTTCCGTGCACTTTGGTGTTTAGTCATGCTGGCCACATGACCACGGAGACTGTCTGAGGACAAACGCTGGCTTCCTCAGCTAGGAAACGGAGATGAGCACCGCCCCCTAGAGTCAGGCATGACTGGACGTAACGTCAAGGGGAAACCTTTACCTTTACCTTTTTAACAAGTGGCACAGGAGCTCTGTGTTTCTTTTGAGGTGGACGGCAGCATGACCCTATTCCTATTTACTTAGATTGTGTTGAGTGAGGCTCACTCCTAGGTGAAGGGTGCACCCAATTGCAGGGGGATTCTGTTGGAGCAGTGGTGCTCGGTTCTTTCTCCTTCTGTTTTGCTGATCTAAATCTCTCCTCTCACTGCTGGAGGGTAAAATGGAAGATAAACATGCTGGAAGCCCCTCTCCTAGGTTTCTGCACCAAAAGAAGCTAGGTGGGCTAAAAGGGCCTTTTCAGTGGTGGCACCCCCTTATGGAATACACTTTCCCCAAAGTGGATTGTCTGGCCCCTATCTTATGAATACCAAGCAAATATCCTTCTTTTCTCCAAGGCATTTTAGCAACCTAGTTACCAATGCTGGTCATTGTTTTGCATTATATTGCATGTTATTCTTTTAACTATTTGCAATTGTGCTTTATATTCTAACTGTTCGATTGCCTGTTAGGTTTTAACTGTTTGAAATTCACCCAGAATACATAAGTGACTTGGGGGATTAGAAATATGCTCCACAAGCAGGCAAACAGACAGAAGGTGGAGAGACCCTGAAGTTGGGGAAGAGACCCTTCTCCAGCGTCGGCTCCCCCACCCCTCCAGCTTCCCAGCTGCTTTTGTCTTATCGAACAATGAACTCACTTGGGTGCCCAGGCACGACTCTCCTGCCTGCAGAGCACTCTGACCCTCCGTGGGCAGCCTTCCCCTCTCTTTGGCTGTAGTCCGATGAATGCGTCCTTAGGATCAAGTCCCACTGACCTCCGTGGGGCTTACTCTGGGCTGGAATCACACAGGTCTGGCCTGTTAAATGTGATTCCAGTTCAGGGCCAAGAGAGACCTCCCGGGATGTGTTCAGCTTCTGCTTCATTCTCCAGAAGCAGCAGGCTGAAGGCACGCTCAAAGGCTTGGTTCAGACTGGACTGGGCTCCCCACATAGGAACCTGATTTTCTCTGACTTTCCGAGGCTGGAGGGAAATCCAAGCCCTGAAATTGACAACTGAGGGCACGTGGTCGAGGGCAGCCCCTTGGCATGAGATGTCCTGCATTACACATTTCAGAATTGCCGCATTGCGTGTCCTTAATTCGCATACGTGTGTTTTAAGAGTTTAATTGCAAAAATGTTCCCTAGGCTGCGTTTTGCACCCACTGACAAGGGGGGAAGCACTCCTGCGTTCTGGGCCACTTACTTCTAAGGAGACATGGCCAGAGCGACCCATTCTGCGTCACTCATGAAGGTGCCCTTGACCTCCCTCCTCTTTGTAAAGTCCTGCTTCTTCTGCAGGCCCTGAAAATCTGAGTAGCTTTTGGAATCTTTGATTCAAAGAAGGTGGAAAAGCTTAGGCATTAATTAGTATTCTGAGCCCCATGACAGCTAATCGATGATGGGCCATCATCTGCTTGAAAAATCAGGTTTTGGTCTGAAAACAATGACGGCAGTTGAATTTGGGTGAGTGCATAAGGTCATTGTGGAAAGGTATTTAGTTGGAAAAAACCTTGCTCCCTCCCAGGAAAAAAAGAAGCAGCAATCTGGATCCATCACAGATGGGCTTCTCTGAATCTCTCATGAGTGTGTTCTGATTAAAGATTCTTGTCCATCCTGCTTCTAGGCACCATTGTCTGTGTCTCTGAATGAATAAACAACCAGGAAGCTTGTTTAGATAGATAATTTGCTGGGGATTGTAGAACAAATTAAGCTATACAATTGACATATAATGAAAAAGAGGGAAGAATATTATGGCTTGAAAGGCTTTTATTAAGGCTAACTGAAAACCACAAGGTAGCAAGCTGGATTTTTGGGTTTCAGAAAATTTTTCTTCAGGGAGAGCCCATGCCTAATATTTTAAGCCTGATGATATTCAGGAAACCCTTTAGGGAAATTTGGTGGCCTTGGGCCAAGAGCTGAAGTCCTCCAGCTTTCACAGTGCATGCTGGGACAAAGGGGTGAAGGTTGTTCAGCTCTTCAAAAAGTCAGCAGTTAATTCAGATCTCTCTCAAGCATTACTCAGAAAAACTCCCGGGTCTCTTGCAAATTGGAAGGATCGAGAGCCAACTTGGACATCCTGCTATTGGCAAAAGTGGAGATTAATTTTAGAAGGTGCAGTATGCATAAAGAGATGTTCTCCACCTATTGGGATGGAGAACCTGCATCTGATCGCACAGATTGGGCCCACTGGGCTGACCATCGTTCTGAGGAGTCTCGAGTGAGGACTGAGCCACGGGCAAATGCAAGGAGGAGCAAAGTCAGTTCCTGGGTGCTCTTGGTTCTGCCCAAGCATTCTCCACCCAGGGAAAGCCCAGTGGAGCAAAACCAGCTTCCTGACCAAGTGTCAGCTGTAGGACCCCCAGCTAGTGCTTTGTTTGGGGACCAAGGAAGTGATGGAGGCAGCCCAGCCCCTGTGGGAGGCAGTCCAGGGCCAGGCCCAAACCTGCTGCCTTCTCCCTCCTTGTTGTTGCTAGTCGCGAAGTCATGTCCGACCCATCGTGACCCCATGGACAACACTCCTCCAGGCCTTCCTGTCCTCCACCATCTCCTGGAGTCCACTTAAGCTCACACCGACTGCTTCAGTGACTCCATCCATCCAGCCACCCCATCCTCTATCGTCCCCTTCTTCTTTTGCCCTCAATTGTTCCCAGCATCTGGATCTTCTCCAGGGAGTCCTTCCTTCTCATTAGGTGGCCAAAGTATTTGAGTTTCATCTTCAGGATCTGGCCTTCTAAAGAGCAGTCACGGTTGATCTCCTCTAGGAATGACTGGTTGGATCGCCTTGTGGTCCAAGGGACTCGCAGGAGTCTCCTCCAGCACCACAATTCAAAGGCCTTAATTATTCGGCACTCAGCCTTCCTTATGGTCCAGCTTTCACAGCCAAACATTGCAACTGGGAAAACCATAGCCTTGACTATACGCACTTTTGTTGTCAGGGTGATGTCTCTGCTTTTTAGTATGCTGTCTAGATTTGCCATAGCTTTCCTCCCCAGGAGCAAGCATCTTTTAATTTCTTGGCTGCAGTTCCCATCTGCAGTGATCTTGGAGCCCAGGAAAATAAAATCTGTCACTACCTCCATCTCTTCCCCATCTATTTGCCAGGGAGTGAGAGGAACAGATGCCATGATCTTAGTTTTCTTAATGTTGAGTTTCAAACCAACTTTTGCACTCTCCTCCTTCACCCGCATCAAGAGGCTCTTTAGTTCCTCTTCACTTTCTGCCATGAGAGTGGTATCATCTGCATATCTGAGGTTGTTGATATTTCTCCCGGCAAGCTTAATTCCAACTGGTGATTCATCTAGCCCCGCCTTTCTCATGGTGTGCTCTGCGTATAAGTTAAATTGGCAGGGAGACAGTATACAGCCTTGCCGAACTCCTTTCCCAGTGTTGAACCAATCAGTGGTTCCGTGTCCAGTTCTCACTGATGCTTCTTGACCTGCATACAGGTTTCTCAAGAGACAAACAAGATGGTCTGGTACTCCCATCTCTTTAAGAACTTGCCACAATTTGTTGTGATCCACACAATCAAAGGCTTTAGCATAGTCAACGAAGCAGAAGTAGATGTTTTTCTGGAACTCCCTAGCTTTCTCCATGATCCAGTGTATGTTGGTAATTTGATCTCTAGTTCCTCTCCCTCTTCGAAATCCTGCCTGTACTCCTGGCAG